ACAAATGTTTGTATGCAGAACTACGACTGTTTCCTTTTCGCCAAATGTGTTTGCAAAAGGGTTTCTTACGGATAACTTGGTTGACACTTTCCTCAAAGATACCAGAATGGAGCCTCTGTCAGCGAAAAAAAAAAAAAAAAAAAAAAAAATCTGGAAAATCTCAACTTGACTGGAGGCTTAGTTTTCAAATTTCCTGTCCTCTTTACAGCCCTATTAGAATTTACCTTAGGCCTCAACAAAAGATGTTGTTAAATCTTTTTTATCAAAGTTGGCAAAGGCAAACAATGCTGTGTAACAACTCATGTCAGTCTCTTGGTTGCGAATACGCAAACTTGTACAGCTGTTACTGTTCTCGCACGGTATTAGTCTGCTAGCACAGTGTTTTGAAATCCTGCGTCGCACTCACTTGTTGGTCAAGCAGTAACTTAAATATTTATTAGGTGCAGTTACAGGCTAGAGGGCCTCTGTATATATATGATCGGGACGAAACAACAGAAATAAGTCGTGTACCGCTTAAAGTATATTCTGTTAGGTACCAGCTGTCTATCCCGAACGTTACTGAACGTTAACACTCGAGAGCTTGGATTTTTCTCGCTTGGTTTTATTCTGGTGACAGGGCTTCCGATCTTTTTATCATGTAAACGCAGTTGAAGTGTGAGAACATTCCGATGGCTCTTGCCTCCTGTTTCACAGATGCGCGGCTAAATGTTAAGAGAGATCTTGGAGTGCGGAATTTGCAGTCTTTCGTCGACCTATGTAAATCAATGCGCCTGGACATTTCCTCTGGCTTTTTCAGTTTAACTTCCTGAATAACTTTATTTTCGATAGTCGAATCCTCGCTTCTACCGTGTGGGCGAGGCGCGTTAAATAGTTTTAAGACCCCTTCGCAGTTAAGAATGGTGGTGACTCTGTGAGTGTTTTTGGGCCGTGTCTAAAGAAGGTCAAACGAAGAACATTGGTTAGGAATCTGCTGCGACAGTCGAACGCGCTTTTAATTTGCAAACCTCTAAATACCCGGCCAACACCTCTTCAGATGCCTAATGGCTGGTAGTTCTGTTCAAATTATTCGAGGTGGTTCTTCTACGGAATATCTTGCCAACGCTTTTCGCATCATTCTTGTAGTCATCAACTTAGGGCCTCAAATGTACCTCACCCCCTGGGGCCAGATCACCCCATCCAAAGAAAACAAAACACAAGGGGTCTCGCACTTTTGTTTTCTTTGGTTGGGGTGATCTGGCCCCAGAGGGTGAGGTACATTTGTCCCCCTTAGAACCGAAACTGGTAGATACGAAAACATCCCTAGCAATGAAAGGATATGCTCCTTTTGTAACAGTAACAAAAGTGAAGACGAAAATCATTTCCTACTAGATTGTAAGGCCTATTCTAAGATCAGAGACGTGTTTTTCTCCAAAATAGAATTTAGATTACCTAACTTCAAATCTCTTTCACATGATAAGTTAGTAGCTCATTTTATGAGTTCTTCTGATTATTTGATTAACTGTCAATTAGTTTTATTTATCTTGCAATGATTTGAATTAAGAAGCAAATGGATTCATATCAATGAATGAATGACACCTGTAATGTTTGAAACGTTTTGCATTAATTGGTTGAATTACTAATTAAATTTAGACTAGTAGCTTTTGCAATACTATATAACATGTATGGTCCTGCAAATAAAGCTTTTGTTGCTGTGCCTAGCTTTAAGCCGACAATTTTGATAAGTGCTTGTGTTGTCGTTTTAGTTTCGGGATATGGGAGAGTTAGTTACGGGTGATGGGGTTGGAGAGGCCAATGGAGACCTTTCGCTTCATCTAAGGCTGTCCTTCGCCTGCGAGCCAAGGATTCGCATGTCCCGTAACTCATCTCTTGAGTCCCAGGCCTTTGTTAGGCGAGCGTCCACTGGGAATAGATTACTATTTAATTCCTTTAAAATAAATCAGTTGTTCCCTTCCTCACCTATCAGAAACTGGTGTTGTTAATGGGACAAAATGTGTGAACCATAAGTTTCTCCTTTTTTCCTGGACTGAGCGAAAGAAAAAAGTTTGGATCAGGAGAAACGATCACACGATTAAACAGGTTGCTTCTTCTTCCCGTAACTGTTGGAGATGAGCCCTGGCAAGCAACTGCTAAAGCTCGTTTAACAGACCCTTGTTACTTTTTACTGTACTTCGGACATCGCCGTATAATTAATTTACAAAAGGTTACAGGTTATATTTTGTTTTAAGCGTTGAACATCATTGTTGTAGTTATACACTTATATTCAGTAAATTTCAAGTAGTCATCGTAGTTTTTTTCAGTTAAACCGGAACCCGACGTTGATATCGGACTTGCCTCATTTGAAAGCCGGGATTCGGGATTTTAAAGCAAAATGGGGGCAAGCTATGCACGAGATGTGGGATGCCAAGAATAAGCATCGGGATTACTGGATTGAGAAAACATTTGGGCCACGCAATGACCGGAATATTGCACTCCATTATCGTTAATTTTTTTTCAAACAAAGGGTCTTGTTTCTTCTAGACAGCCGTATATCGTGCCCTGATAAATTAGCTCTAAGAGGATTAATAAGTCAGAAGAGAAGAAGCAATATTATCTACTTCCTCTCTTAATCTAACAGTCGTTAGCTCCAAAATCTAACTTTCGTTTTCCTCTGGCAGAGATCAATCGAATCAAAGAGTTTAAAACAACTCCAAAATAGTGCACAATTGGAAATACTTGGAGAGTGAAGTCATTTACTGAACAGCGGTTAGTAATCGAGCCTAAAAAGCTTTGCACTTTGATAAGAAATTTTTCGTCCGCACAAGAGAATTTCAGCTGCGCAGGATGAGTCGGCCACTTTGAGGGTGATGCATCACTTGAGCGCATGCATGGCGGAAAGTTAAGAGAAGGCGTTAGCAGTTGTAAACCAAAGGACATCTCACAGTTCCTTTCAAATAAGTTTCAATTTCTTGCTTGGGGTACGGTTTAAATTCACTTTGCAGATAGATTGGGATAAAAATAAATAAATAAATAAATAAATAAAATGGCGCCCAAACAAACCGCAAAATCGCAAAAATCAATATCGTACAAGCTGTGTATATTTAATCAATAATTATTAATTTACACTAATCGTCGTGCACTTGATTAACATAGTTATTTAAATGGCCAAAGCAATCAAAATGTCATTCTTCGAGATTCGTTGAATCTTGGTAGCATTCTTGACTGTAATTATACACGAAACTAGTCTTCCGTGCGCCTAGGTCGCATAATTGACGCCGCTATCTCTGTAAATTTATTTTTCTTTGGTTACCTCATTGACTCACAGGCGTTATTACTCGTGAGAAAATGAAACTGGTAATTTCGCATTGCTATAACCTCCTATCACCGGCCAATCAGCGTGGCCGACAGAGGGTTGTCCTTTGCGATAGTGTTAAATATAGCAGAGCCACAATTCACTGGTTTCCTTAGAAAGGCGCTGTACGCAAGATACTCAGCTTCAAACCTAGTGCAGAGAGAAAAGACAGGAACGGCGTGTCTTCTATCTCCGTTTTCACAATCCTTTTGGTATTGGCGGGTGCCTATTTCAGCAGTGATCATGAGCAATCACAGATCTCGCAAGACAAGGTGAGTGATATTTTTGCCATGGTTTAACGTTTCCTAATTATTGGCTTTAAAGTTACTCAGAATTGTTCCTTCATTTTTTATAGGTTCTTGCCAGCAAAGAAGATCAAAAGGAAGACACTAAGCGCTCACGACAAAAAAGAAGTAAAGACTTAAACCCATCATTTAGTAAGTTAATAAGGTTTTGTATCGTTTGCTGCTTTGTTTGTCTTGTCATGCCGTGTGTTTTTCGTAGACTGTTGTTGTTGTTGTTGCTGTTTTCTCTTCTCGTCGTAAAGGAAAAACAAAAACACGTGAAACAACAGGGGTTAGGGACAAGGTTGAGGGGGTGGGGGAGAATTAATTAGAACAGTTTCGCAAAACATTTTTTTTCTCTATAGCATTGTCAAGGACGGTAACTGTCAGCGCAAATGCAACTGCAACGGCTTTTGAAGGAATATCGCCTAGTATTGAATACGAAACAGAAGGGGGAATCGGTTAAAGACAATTGTCTGTATGAAATCGAAATATTCGCCATTTATAGAAAAGAGGGAAAAAAGAAGAAAGACAAAAAAAGAATGTTAGAACTCCATGCCAAAGATTGACCAATATTCAATACGTCCGGTCAGTGTACAAATTGGCTTGAATTGTCTCATTTCGTGCAACTATAAATGGCCATAAATCGTGCCTTATTGTTTCCTTACTTGTTTTTTTGTTCTAGAACGACCACTGGCACGTTCTAATAGGGCAGGCTTCTCGAAGAGATTGTGATCGATTTTTGATCTAATTCTTTCCACGAGGTCTTCTCAGTCCTTTTGGAACTTTCCGAGTACCTCAATTACATTAGATACGTAGGATAAGTGCCTTCACATTGCACATTCTTTACATTCTTATGATTTGTGCAGTTAAGTCCAGTTTTTCATCTTTCCCCTTGCTGCTGAAAGCCGATCTTGGCGTCTTCAGTCCTTTAGTTCTGCGACATATATGTTGGCTAATAGAAATGTAACGCAGTGACAGCGTGATCGAAATAATTATTCTGAATTCTGAATGGGTTTTTAAAATAGAGATTTGGATGTTCCCACGACAAACTGAACTGCTCTGGACCCTGTGATAATGATGATGATGGTTATTATGATGATGATGATGATGATAATGATAATGGTGATGTTGATAATAATGATGACGACGATCATGATGATGATGATGATGATGATGATGATGATGATGGTGATAATGATGATGATGATGGTGATGATGATGATGATGATGATGATGATGATGATGGTGATAATGATGATGATGATCATGATGATGATTGATGATGATAATGATGATGATGATGGTGATGATTATGATGATGTTGATGATGATGATATACGTTCAAAACTAATCTTAAAACTTTTGTTCCAGAGTACGGCTGTTCCCTTCGGCTTGGTTTGGAAAGCGGCCAAGTGCCTGATACTGCATTTTCAGCCTCTTCCGTGGCAGGATCGAAGAAAAATGGCCCAGAACGAGCGAGGTTAAATACACATACTGATAGCAAAGGTTCCGGCGATTGGGCTTCAAAAGAGAACAACGAGAGTCAGTGGCTTCAAATTGACCTTGGGGAGCTGGTACGAGTTATTAAGGTGGCAACACAGGGGAAGCAGGACGCTGATCATTGGGCAATACTATTCAGTCTTTCGTACAGCTCATGGATGGAAGGCACTGGGCTAAATGCAAGGAACAGTGTCGCAAGGGTCAGTCAATACTTGAACTCCATTCATGTATCATTTTTAGGTGAGATAGAACTCCCTCGGAAGATTTCCATGTGCAGCCGTGGTTTTTGCCAGAGTTATCATCTTAATCCTTTAATTGATAGATAAGCTCATTATTAACCTTACAAATGCAGCGGAAACTCCTGTTGTTTAGTGCGAGTTTCAGAGGTTTCCAGAGTCCCGGCGGACAAAAATGTCCGTAAATCGCTGAGAACCTGATGACACCTAATAACTGTTTTAAAGGTTTTTATGGGTAACAAGGACAGAAATACAGTTGTGGAGCATTGGTGTTTTTTGTCCGATTTATTCGTTTCTACCCTAAAGCATGGAATGAACTTGTAGAGATGAGGGTAGAAGCGTACGGGTGTAGAAATGGTACGGTTTTACAATCATTTTTACTTGCCTTTGCCATACGTTTTCAGATGTTTAAAACTCATTAATAATTCATAAAGAAAACAAAAAAAAAATTAAAGCTTAAAATGCTAAGTGAGTGCCTTTATATCTGCTATACTTCAAAATAACCCCAAATCTTAATATTAGTGCAAGGCTGTTTAATTACATCCGATTAGTCGGAAAATATGCCCTTTTTGTTGCAAAACTTATTTTTGGCTATTGCTATGCTAATTAGCCGAAAACTAGTCCAAAATAAGTGGAATTTGTGAAAGATGCGGATTTTTTTTGCTACTCGCTGGCCGTCATGATTATCAAAGATTTAAAACTATTCAAGAATGCACAAATGAATTACATTATATTTTTATATTTCCTTGATATTTAATCAGTGAGCGATTAATTCTCAGTTAATATGCATTCAGTCAACTCTCTCGTATCGGACACCTCTCTAACACGGACACCCGGTGTTGGTCCCCGTCGTTTTTTAATCATTTTACTGTAACTATACTCTCTATAAGGCGGACACCTCTCTAAGACGGACACCCGGTGTTGGTCCCTGTCGTTTTTCAATCATTTTACTGTAACTATACTCTCTATAAGATGGACACCTCTCTACGACGGGCACCCGGTGTAGGTCCCTGTCGTTTTCCGATCATTTTACTGTAACAATACTCTCTATAAGACGGACACCTCTCTACGACGGACACCCGGTGTTGGTCCCTGTCGTTTTTCGATCATTTTACTCTAACTATACTCTCCATAAGACGGACACCTCTCTAAGACGGACACCCGGTGTTGGTCCCTGTCGTTCTTCGATCATTTTACTGTAGCTATACTCTCTATAAGACGGACACCTCTCTAAGACGGACAACGGACACTTGAGAAGTGCTTTATGCAGCAGTGAAAAATAGCTCTAAGACGGACAGTTAGGGTCGGTCCCGAAGGTGTCCGTCTTAGACAGAGAGATGACTCTATAGTTAGTGTAAATTAATTGAAGATGATTGTTTATAGGTTGAGCAAACTTTTTATTATTACAGTCGACTCCCAGTAACTCCCGGTAGCTCCCGGTAGCTCGAACCTCCCGTTAACCCAAAGTAATTTTCATTTCCCTTCAGATCATTTTCATATAAATTTACCGTCGATAACTTGAACTTTTTTTTCTATTTCCCTTGAAGGTTCGAATTATCGGGAGTCGACTGTATTTAATTTTTATATGTAGCACCGTCAGTAAATAAAATTTTCTCCCATAGATACTTGACACTATAGACGACTCCCGGTAACTCGAACCCTCTACAGCACGAACCTCCCGTTAACTCGAAGTAATTTTCATTTCCCTTCAGATAATTTTCCATATAAATTTACCCTGGATAACTCGAACTCCAGATAACTCGAACTTTTTTCTATTTCCCTTGAAGGTTCGAATTATCGGGAGTCGACAATAACTTCATTTCCACTTGCAATAGATACGTTCAGTCTAGGTGTAATTGAAATTACTTGTTAACGACCTGAATTTCATGCATTTTAATCATTTTCATGATTTTATAGGTATTTGGCGGTAACATTGACCGTAACACTCCAGTTTATCATTTTCTTCATCCACGGATCTATTGCAAGCAACTTCGATTCCAACCGTGGTCTTGGTCAACGGGTGTCTGCATGAGAATAGAAGTATACAGTTGTCAAAAAGGTAAATAGATGTTACAACACGATATTAACGACTCATTCACGAGAGGAAGCACGCATGGCAGTGTACCGTATTTTCTAAACCTCCCAAATTATAAAAATTTGGTCAAAAACGGGGATAAGGGAGCGTAATCAAAGGAGGCGCGCTTATCGTCGTCGTAATCATCATCGTCATCATCATCATCGTCATCATCACCACTAACACTACCACCACCACCATCAGCATCATTATCGTCATCGTCATCGTCATCGTCATCGTCATCGTCATCATCATCATCATCATCATCATCATCATCATCAACTACTCAATATTCAAAAGTGACTGTCACAAAAGTGATTGCTTAAACATAATCACCAATATAATATTCAGACTTGGCAACCATCGCTTACAAATTGAAACGGGCAGACATACAGTCCGAAAACTCTAGAAAATCTTCGAATTTGCCCCTTCCGCCACTTAAATGAAGTTGAACACGAATTACACTTTCTATTCAATTGTAATCTTTACGATAGTCTTCGATCTATTTTTGACAGAAGCATTAGTAATAGATAGCCCCTTTTCAATAATTTTGACAACACTGAAAAAGCCCTCTTCATATTTCTCAATGTCGGTCCTCATATCTACAGACTTACAGCTGCTTACATGTGTTCTTCAATTATAGCCTTTATTATAACCTAAATAATGTAGGTAATACCATGTACTCACGCGGGAATACTGAAATAAAATTGTTGTCGTCATCATCATCATCATCATCATCATCATCATTATCATCACCGTTATTAAATGAAGAGAAGTTCTTCGCGATTAAAGACGCAACTTTAATATGCAGTTGCGAAAAGAAATCCTGAAAAAAATTCAGGTTTTCCGAGATTTGAACCCTGACCTGTGCGATTCATTAAATAGATTCGTAATACACTCGGGAAATTGATGAAATTATCATCATTACAGTTATTTTATATTCCCCTAAACGACCCTGAGCTGTAATAAGGTCGGCGATCGCTAGGAACGATGACATACGTCTTATGTAACTAGAATCAGATGCAGTAGAGAAAGAAAGCGATATTGTTATGAATAGAATTACCCTCATCATCCACATTTCGAGCAACATTAATGGCATCGTTGGTAAAATCATCATCAACTTCTCCTTCTCCTAATAATCGTCGCTATTTAACCCAAGTTCTACAAATAGGCGCCACGTTGGCTATTAGCGGAGTGCGACGTATTGTACTCAATACTCTTTTAGGGATGGGAGATTTTTATACTCTAAAGATCCTTTCAGTGATAATAATAGAGAAGGAAAAGGAAAGACATTAAAGGACAGGTAAGGACATTAAATGGCGGAAAAAGACCAATAAGGACATAAAAGGACAAGTACGGAGATGAGAGGACTAGTGAGCATTCTGAAGTCAGCCAAGTGCGGTCATTGCAAGCCCGCTGAAGAAGAATGCTGTATCATGACAGACTAGAAACAATAGGAAACTCCCAAAGCACAAACTCAGCCAAAACGCTAAAAATCTTCAATATTTACTCAAGTTTGGGCTTATAGAAGATAATGTCACAGTTTTTCAATGACCATAAAATTCACATTCCGGGTAGTTAGTTAATCAATTGTGGCCCTGAAAAAATTTGAACGAAAAAAAACTACGAATTTTTAAGAAAATGCTTTTTTCGTGAGAAGGACTCTTAAATAGCTAAAACTATAATTTCTCTATGTTTGCATTGCTCGAAATCGCGCGCTTTTACAAGGAGCTAAAGTTTTTTGCTGACTTGCAAGGTCCCCAAAATAAATGGATAAAACTCATAGGCTATTAGATATAGTCGTGTAAAGTTTGCTTATAATTTTTGCATAAATTATAGCCTAAATTTGGAAACCGCTGAATTTCTCGCGTTGGGTCCTTGCGATTTTGGTGATTTTCGGTTCAACGCAAGGCACTAATACCCACTATATGTAGCCGAGAGATTTTCAGGAACAAATGCCGGCAACAGCAGAATTTCAACTCAGACTCCAAAGAGGCGTGGCACTATAACCACGTGACATTTACTCCGACGGCCAAACATTTTATGCTATATTGTAGATTGATCTATATGTTATCCATGCTATATGTTAGACTTACCATCAAATTAAAGGTGGGGATACCAGAGAGCGTCAAAGTAGGATGGTACCCTCACAAAATGATTGGGTCGAGTCACCTTAACACAACCCAATCTAATAGAAACTGTTTTAACCCACCTTGATATTTCGCAATCGTAAAAGTGTTAAACGGAGAAAGACCAGAAAAGAAGGAGGCGAGAGTTATGGCAGAGGGGATAATAAGGATTGGGAGGTTAAAGGCCTCAGCAAATCAGGGATGATGGTAATGATCCTGTTTCTCTTTTAAACACTTTTAGTTGGCAGCGTCTGATTAGTCTTTCAACATCGCAGCGTATATTCTGTGGGGTTCCGGTTGCACAAATTAAAATTATTGTTATGTAGATATGACAATTTTTATTTTATAGGGCATTTAGAAGACAGCTTTTCCATACGCCACTGACCATACGAAAAAATACCACGGAATGGTGATAATAGAATTAAATGATAGTAAGTGAATGAAATGCAATGAATGACACATACTGATTGTAATAAGTAAACGAGCTACATGTATTGAAGCCAAGCTGTATAATTAAGACCACACTAACTTAACATTGTTAAATAAAAAGATACCACCATTGAGAAAATTAAGTGTGTCTGAAACGAGTGAACTAATTATAGTGAACTATAATTTAAATTAAACTATCAGCTACGTATTTTTCATAACCACCTCGGTCCGAAACATATGTCAAAAGAGAAAGCTCTCGTGGCAACTATGCATATCTCACTTGTTTTCTTGTGTTTGTCCAAAGGAATGTAAGGCTTGGCTCACATAAGTGTATGTTTTAATGAATTATGTTTCTCCCCCATTGTATGATAATAGCTAGCTGCGACTTGCATGCAACACTTAAAAGTATGATTGGTAAACTGAGTCGGAAGAAGGACATTCGCCCAGCTGAGAAAATGTGGGTTTAATAATTTGGATTCAAATTATACATTCATCATTATCATAATGATGATCCTCCTTTTTTTTTCAAAACTTTCAAAGCAAGGCTATGTCGATATATGATATAGAAAACGTACACCAGTGTATGTATCAAAGATAGCTTTGTTGACTAGTCTACGGGTGTACAGTGATGATTTTGTTTGTTTGTTTTGTTTTGTTTTGTTTTGTTTTTTCTAGAGTACATTTTTTGTTTTCATTTGCGGAATTATTTGATTTGACGCATCAACTCTTGATAGTTTTAAAGTATTGTTATTTACATGGACTTATAATTATTAATTATTATCATAAATCGTAAATAACAAAAGAGCTTAAGGAGCTTAAAGAGATGGTAGCTGCCAAGGCAATCCACGTAACGCGCAATCCAGTCTCCAGCGAATCTACTACTTGTTCTCAGCTGCTTGCTAGTTAATATCTCCAGAGTGGTTTATGTCCTCTACTTCGTTGGACAGTTTCTTTGAGGGTCGAATAAGACGCCATAAAAGAGCGAGGAACTCAACTAGAGTGATAATAGACACTCCAATGCAGAGGCCAAGTTGACCACCAATGGCTCCCACCAAAGCTGCAAACTGCAAGTAACGAACAAAGATATAAGTGTGGTGTTTTCTTGTTTGTTTGGCTTTGTATTGGTTTTGCTTTTGTTATGGCAGGAGTAAGTAAAATGCAATAGCTGAAAGTGCGTTAATTTTCTCAGGAAATCTCGCAATTATAGAAGTCTGTAAGCTTCTGTTTTGGTTCTGTAAATGTGAGCTCTTTGTGCAACAAGAATAACAGCAAACTGTTAGAGTCGAAAATGTAATGTTCAAATGACAACAAACATAAATGGAAACAAGCTTTCCTTGAGGAAAGATGATTATACATATTACATAATGTGCGGGTAAAATTATTCTGAAAAGTGGACCAATTGTTTATTGAGTGTGAAGAAAGTCCTTGATGCCTCTAAATTGTGAGTTATAAACTATAAAGATTGCACTAGTAGGCAATTGAGTTGCGGAATTTTTCATAGGGCAAATCTTCTTTCAGCCACTTTTTAAAACACAAGGTTTAAACATAGAGGATTATGCAAAGTACGTTGCATCATCATCATCATCATCATCATCATCATCATCATCCCTTCATCACTTCTTTATTATTTATTAAGTTAGTTTATATATTTATTTATATTATTTATTTAATTATTTATTTTTTGCTGCAGTAACGTAGATTGTGACTTTATGTGATTTGTCGTAGTGTATGCCATGATCTATATCTTGCCAACAGGAGGCCTCCTACCGTCATCGCCTTTTTTTGATCAATGTGTTCGACTGTCATGGACGCGTAGTGGATGTTTACTTGTGCCATGTTCTTCCTGGAAAATGAAATCTCGCAAGTACCGTAAATACTCTATTAATTAAGCCCCTCCTCTCAAATAAGCCCCACCTCCTTTTCAGGGAAAGAAAGTTAATTAGCCCTCTCTCCCCTCGCCCTTATTGTTCTTCACAAATGAATAATAGACTGTATTAATCAATCATGACTGTAAAACTTCGTGTGGACTGATCCGGGATGGTTTATTCACCAACTGAAAGTTTGGATTTGTTTTTGATCCTCGTCTGCATGCCTGCATGACCTCCAACTTCTTGTACTTGAGCTTTTCCACTTTGTATTGTAGTTCTTTATAGAGAACCGATGCCATCGTCTTCGCTAAATTAAGCCCCCCCCCCCATCTCAAATAAGCCTCCCGTCTCTACTAAGCCCACCCCCTCCCCCTCAAATATGTTTCAAATAAATAAGCCCCCCGGTAGATTTAATAGAGGATTTACGGTACTAGGGATAGACAAGCATTGCTGTTCTCACATTTGCTGACACCACTAGAGAAACTTTTTTTTGTTTTTGTTGCGGCTGTTTTACTGAAATAAGTAAATCCTAATTCTCTCTAGGCATTACATGTTGCTGTTTAGTAGCAAACTTCATAAGTGTCTTCAACGAAAGAAAAGTTTGGGAATGCCCGTAAAATTCAATAATTTCAAGTCTCTTTTCTGTGGGTGTCTCCTCACCTTGCGACTGGTGGGAACTCGAACTTCTTGTCTACCACTTTCAAACAACTGCTATTATCTTTGGAAACTAACTTTGGAAAAGAAATTCCTAACCAGGGAAAACTGAAGGGGGCATGCGAGGTGGTTGGGGGGTGGTTTGCATTTCCATCATATATGACCCTATAAAGGTTTCATTGAAATTCTTACCTGGCTGATTCCAAATCTTTCACCACTTCTTTCACACGCCTGGTCCCAGTCTTATTCAGGAGTCCCGACAACATTGGCTGCAGGTGAAAATTAAGAATTTGTTCATGCTTAGCGTGCGTATATCGAGTTATGGATGCACACGGGAAGTTTGGAGAGCACGAAAGATGCGTAAGAGTTGCACGAGGCGATAGCCGAGTGCAACTCTAGCTTCTTGAGTGCTCTCCAAACTTCCCAAGTGCATCCATAACTCGATATACGCACAACTAAAAGCATGAGCAAATTCTTTTATAACATAGCTGACAAAAATGCTTGCTTTTTGATGAACTGCAAAATTCTCGTAACGCGCTACACAATAACAAACGGTTCTATTGGCTGATTACGAACACGCCACAATCGTCTAGTTTGAATGAAAATATTCTTTCTGTAAAACTGAGATAGAAAATTTGCTTCTTTATTTGTTAACGATCAATGGAAACTAAGCAGAAACAAAGGTAAAAGAGTCTTAAAGTTCACCTAAAGTTAAAATCCTAACATGTTCGTAAGAAGTCGTGGAGTATGGTTTGGATTTGCGGAAAAGATGTTTACGTTTTGCTCAGCGAAATCCAGAAAACATGTTTTTAGCGAAGACGACTGTCATCCTTCTTTAAACTCATATTCATTTACGAACATTCGCTGGTCATTACGGCTTCTTGAGAAGACCTGGCAGCAGTTGTTTTTGTGAGTAATAAATTTATGTCTTCTTGTGTAATTTGTGTTGTTATTGCGAGAGAAATTTTCCTGCTTCAGTCGGATTGTCCGGAGATAACAAAAGTGCATAACAAATTTAAAAACAACAATAAAAGCGGAAATTTTACCGTTAAATGTTGTTGATGACCAGTTGATGTCTGTTCTGTTCTGTTCCAGTGAATGTCTTTCGGCCAAAATTTGCTGCAGCTGGTCTTCCGACAAATTTGCGAAACGCGCAACTTGCGAGGTTTTTTTAATTCGACTTTATTTTTGCTGCTTGTTGGATCAGGACCTAAAAGGTCAATGCCGATAGAAAAATTGGGCAGTTCTTCGCTGGTTTCTTCCATATTTTAAAGAGAAGGAAAACTGCACTGCAGGTTAAAAGACGAGAACTTTGCAGCCAGGTAAAAAAAAAAATGCTTACGTCATCTTATTTACGCACGGGCGTGCGTAAATAAAGATTTTGTTCGTAGCGGCTCAATAGGACTTACATAGGGCAAGCACGCGCGCTATGTTATAAACTTATTTGTACTAATCATAATAAAAGTAGGAAAAAACAGGTGGATCTTTAGTTATTCAGGCGTTTATGCGGATAAAAGTTTGCAGCCATGCAGGCCGTCGAACGGGCGGAATAGACGATTATTTAAGAAACATTTGCCGCTTCTGATCCTGTTTCATACGCTTTTTACACCATAAAGGGCGAAACACATTTTTTTGCGGGGAGGGAGAGGGATAAAAAAGGATTGACCTCGCGTAACTTGCATATTTATGTACCGTTTCCTATAGCAAACGACTGCCATCAAATTTTGTAAAAATGTGACTAATGCTAATTGCTAATGAAAAGAAAAGGTTCTGGCGCAGAATCGTGTTAAAAAAATAAAACAAACGAATCCTAACCTTTCACCTCTTTATCCCCGTTGTTAGAGATACCCTGGTTTTGCTCCAGGTTTTCCTTTAACCCCGTTCGTTTGGTTTGTCAAATAGCTTTATATTTAATTTTGGAATAATACACTACACACTAGTGCCGTCTTACCATGTGTTCTTTGGAGGGCCAAGCTGACGACGAAACACCCGTTAGAAAATGAAATTCCCTACAGACAGACGTTTGAATCACATATTAGAGAGCTCTTCCCTTAAAAAAAAAAATTAGAAAAGGAAAAAAAACAGAAAGAAAGAAAACAAAGCACAGTTATTCCTTAGTATCACATTACGCATCCTTTCCAAGCGATTATGGTCACCTATCTTATGTTGATATTATTATTGTTGTTGTTATTTTAATTTTAATTTTTTAATTTGCAGTAACTTTCTTCCTAAAATTACTATAGACTAATCCCTAGTGCAATGAAAGAAAAAATCGTCGGAAATGTTTTTAAAGCATGCACTCGTTACTATTATCATAATTATTGGTATGTTCATTTAAGGTGGCTGACACAGTTTTGCGAGCGGTCAGCGGTAACTCGCGTAACGGCGTGTTTTAAATTAGACAACGAACAAACATGACGGCTAAAAAAGCAATGGTGCACAGACGACGATTTCTCAAAATCTACTTGTTAAAATTTTGTGATATTTGGCAGAATTGTTACTTTTATCGTATTTTAAATAATGAGAACTTTAAAATGGAAGTTGAACAGACGAATTTTGTGACACATTTAATAATTACAGTACAGTTATATCGTTGATTATCTAAAAACCTGTCTGTTAAAAATTTGGTCAAATAAGTTTCAAATGGTAATGATTAATTATAGTAAGCTGTGTGCAAGTTTATAGGAAAATCTAATGAGCGAATTTTATGTAAACTGAGCAAAAGTGAAATTTTAAGGTTGTATTCAATCGTTCATGTTGCCATGGAAACCATGAAAACGTCAAATTTTACATGTCAATCAAAATCTTTCATCAGTTTATTTTTCACTTGCCAAGTTTCAGCTTGTGAGCTTCAACCTTTCTCTTGCCATAATTTGGCAAATGACATATACTCACAAACTTCCAAAACTGTGTTCAGACACCTTAATTGCTGCTGCTCGTAACGAGCATTATTTCATTTATTTTAAAATTTAAGTGGAAATTTAAATCTCTATCAGGATGTCTCTATAAATAAAGTTTTTACAAAAACCTCAGAGCAGGTTCTATTTCAGGGGAATGACCTTAACAGAGCTTACATAACGAAAACGGAACGAGGCGTAAGACTTCAGAGGTCTGTTCTCAAGATATTAAGAAGGCGTCCATGCTTCATGGTTTGATAAAACTCCCGAGACGGGCCTCGGTGGGTTCTAGAGCTTCTTAATTAATTTAAGCACTTTTTTGTGTCTTAATACTTCTTTTGAACTTACTTGCAGTTGGGATCGCAAGGGCAAGCGTCAAATTTTATCTTTAGGCGGGATTTCTCGATACATTCAGCTAGGGAAAGATCACACCATATGATCTCAAATATTACATAAACGTTATTAAGAAAGATTTTACCCTCACATGTACGCCATTTGTTTTGTTCATCCTATTTGTTTGTTTTTCTTTTTTCTTTTAACATCTATCTGTACATACATATACTTGAATCTTGTTTTTGGTTAGTATTTTATTCATCATTCTAAGCAATACACTGAGTTCTTCGTTCAGCGGTAACGATGAATATGGTGGTGATGATGATTATAATGGTCGTAATGACGTGTCTTTCGCTTTTCTTTTTCTCGTATACTCTTGCATTATTCTTTTCACTTTTTCGGTTTTGCACTTGCACGTTCAGCCTTATCTCTCTTTAGCCTATTTAATGATTATTTTATATGTTCTAAAGAAATTGAATGTGCGCTTAGTTAAATTGTCTTGCCCGATGCCAGTATTTTATTTATTAATTAGGTAATATATAAATTTTTATAGATGGTCCTATTCATAAGCCGTATTGGCTTCTTTGGGCTCCCTTGCGTCATCTTCTTTTTTTGATTTTATGTATATACATACAGCAAGGATCCCAAAAGTGTGACTTTCTGTAATTAAGTCACATTCTTTCATGCAGAAATTAACCAATCAGAAGTCGAAGACAGTTTCCAGCTGGCTTCTGACTGGATTAAATCTGTACGAAAGAATGTGAATAAATCAAAAGCAGTCACACTTTTGGGCTCCTGGCTGTAACTTATATGGCAAAATGATAATAAAACTGATAATAAACTCGTCTGATGATGATGATGATGATGATGATGATGATGGTGATGATGATGATGTTTTTATAGATAAGGATAGAGCGGTTTCACTTGACTGTCGAATTGGGATTGGTTTTGGTTTTGGTTTTGGTTTTACTACGTCCTTTGGTTGGCTAGTGTATTTACTTTGGTTTTGGTTTTACGACAGTCAAGTGAAAACTGCTCTAATGTTTATATAAAGTTAAAAACGATAAATGAAGTATTAGAACATCATCTGACGTTTCGTTTAAAGGATCGCAAAGTGGTTCTCCATGCAAATCCATAGACACGCAACCACAATCTTGTTTTATCTTCGCGACAATACATTCTCTGAGACAGATCTAAGAGTGCAGGGAAAAAAACAATGGATAGAAATCGTGCCTTTCTCTACTTTTCAGGGGTCCGACTGTATTTTAAGACTAAGATGGATCCTAGAAACCTTGTCATATTTAACGTTAGGTTATGCAAATATTACGAGATTAGGCGCTGCTTGAAGGCCATTTCTGCAGTGGGAAGTTATGTCCTGCATCACAATTCATTGCGCCAGCAAAACAACTCCTCGAAAGGGAACGAAACTGGAATAAATAATTTATAAGCTTGAAGACTGAAGAGTCCTGCAGTGTGGAAATATCTTGGACGGTCTCTCAAAACACTTTTTAGTTCCATTCATAGCGTACTTCGAATGAATTTTCTTGTCTGTAATTTAGTTTCATTATCCCACTAATTAATAAAAGGATAGAAAGCATTGTTACGCAAAACGTGATTGTAAACTTTAAAACAAAATCACTACATAAAAAGCGGGATATAGAACTTACCAACTGATTGTGTTCACTGCTTTGATTGCAATGTTCCTTGTTATAAGGATAGTCCAAACGAGATATATATTGCTGGAAATTTAAAAAAAGTGCAAATTTGGGTGAACACTTATCCTTGGGAGCCAGCAGGGAGAGGTAAAGAGAAAAAAAAGTAAATCAGTCAATTAATCAATAACAGCCACCGTTGAGCCAACCCCTACTTATTTATCGGCCAATGAAGCATTTCCAAGGAAGTGGTTCTAATCATATGTGTGCTAACTGAGTGTTTGAGGGCCCTCTGAGGTTTTTCTGAGTTTTATGTTTGACGATTAAACATTAACACCTGACGTTTTCAGTAGCTGTTCGTTTATCCTTCACGCGCATTTTGAGACAAGTTTAGTGATGATCAGTTACTATGGTTACGAGATATGATGTCATAAGTAGCGGGTGGTCAAGCCATTGAAAATGCATTTTTTTAAAATATTTTCAGTTATAAAAGTAAATCTTGTAGATAAAACGAAGCTAAGTACTTATTTATGTATATATTATTATTATTATTATTTATGTATATATCTTTCATGACAATCGCACAAAATTGACAAGTCTCGCCGTTTTCTTAACTCATTTTTAACTGTTGGTAAAATCCAAGATGGTGCCCAATATGGCGACCATGTTTGGTGACATCACCGCCCACCCGCAGCGCCAACGCCCATAAATTATACCTCATTTTGTCGAGAAGATCAAAGGCTTTCCACTGAAGTACCAAAATACCGCAACATATAAAAAAATTAAACCTCTAGGGAGGGGCTCGATCAACCCTCCCCCCCTTAAACCACAGAGGGGGCATGACTTTCCATGTACGTCCGAGGGTTAAATATTCGACTCGCGCACTGTTAACTGAGATGTACGGATGGTAGGAAAGTTGAAATGGCTTAAAACAACATTTTAAGCGACCTCTCATGTAAAAGAAATTCACTGCCCTCTCTATCTTCGTAGCTAAAGTCAACTGAACGAACAAGTAAAGGATGAGAGTTTCCTTTTTTCTCTTTCTTTTTTTAATTCTACTTTGTTTTGGAATTTTTCGTTTTGTTTTTGTCGTTTTTTTATTTTATTTTTGTGCTTTTGCTGTGCTTTCTGCTTTTATAGCTAGCTTTAACAGTGGTTTGACTCGCAAGCGTTAAAGGGCTATGTCACGAGGAATTAAACTGTTATTTTAGGTTAGTCCTGTGAAAGCAAATAACGAGATATATATTTTTTTCTTGTTCTTAATGTTGATGCTGCTGGTTGTTGTTTTTTTTTTGGCTTGTTTGTTTGTTTTTTGTTGTGCTTTGTGCTGTTACAACCCAATTTCATCGAAAGGACAAAGATAGATTAATCGCCTTACCGTATTTAAAGAGACGGAGACAAAAGATCCGGGGGCAACGTAGATCGGGTTTTCTCCCATGGTGTTGGATTTAGTTAAAGGCAAATATACCGATACGACTGCACCAACCGAGTCAGCAAGTGGACCCACGTACTCGGCAGCGTCTATAAACAACGTCACTTTGAAGCCTGAACAATGCAAAGAAAAACAAATTAAGCGCACCATACGCCCGGAATAGACTTTTGTCACGTGGCGGCTGTTTTGTCTCAGGAGATTAAAAAAGCTTTTTTTTTATGCACGGCTGTCCTAGTAGAGAGAACGAGGCTAGCCGTGCATAAACAAAGCTTTTTATATAAATCTCCTGAGACAAAATGGCCGCGGCGTGACATATGTCTATGAGCTTTAACAAACTTGGTAGCTACCTTACGTTGTGTTTGTAACATAATACTTATCTTGTACAATATCAGAGCTAGAATCAGTTGTATTGCACCCCTTAGTTTAAATGGGGTTGTTGTAATCCCCTTCCCCCTCCTGGAGGTTTTGCTTTTGCAAGGTGATAGAAATGTTGGTGTCGTGGGCAATAGTCATGTCAATGAGAAAACAGGTTTTGTCCCTTTTGCTCTTTGGCACAATGTCCAGCTTATTAGCTGCGATGGTCCTGTCAGTGTACTACTCCCAATACCTTTTTCCTGAATTGGAAGCAACGTTCAGCAGAAAAAGCCGTTAAGGATGCATTGCAACACATCAAAATGTATGTAGCAGGAGTTTGAACCAAAACTGCCAAGGGATATTTTAAAAATGTTGAGGAAGAAGTCATTCGACGTCAGAGCAAGGTTTGGAGCAATTTATAGTGCTTCTAAAACTAAAAAGTACCGTTCAAAGAATACCACGATAGGCAATCAGCTTTTCTTTTCATTTTTAGCAAACATTGAATTTACTTGTCCCGAAAATTCGAACTGGTGGCTCCTTCTAACTGTTAGTAATTTATTTTTGAAATTCCAAAACAATTTCACAGCTGAATTTTGAGCGACGTTTAGTTACGGATTTCTACTCCAACGATTTTTCTGAAATTTCTCCGGCAAACTTGTTATGTCAATGAAAGCCGATACCAGAAATTTCAGTAAAATATATCAGCAAAATTATTTACTAGACGCGATTTTCTTTGAACACTAGGGTCCCTTCAAGCCCTAATTTAGCAAAATATATTTACCATCAATGAAATCGGAATATTGCGTACTATTGCCGAATGATATCTGTCGATCTTTGCAAAGTTTCGCAGCCATCGCTCTAAAAACGAAAAAGTTATGACAGGAAATTTGTCACAGCTAAATGCTCTAGTATTAAAGACGGAGCCACCTTAGCCTTTCATAACCATCAAGAATATTTCAGTTTTCGTTGACCTCTGGCTCACAAACGTGACTGACCGTTTAGCAAAGTTTCGCAGCCATTACCTTCTTGATGACCAGAGCGTTGCACGAATAAATTGCTAGTGTTTATCGTGAAGCAGTTTCCATACTCCATGTCAAAAAACTGAGAAAAATCCCTTGAAAAAGAAAAGAAAGAAAAAAAGGTTCAAAATACATCTTTAAGGTTAAGTGTTACTTAATGCAGGAGCTAACATATATAAAAAAATCCCCGGTTCCGGATCGGATCTCTTACAAAAGGTATAAACACTGAATCCGAATAAATAATAAAATAAGCTGCGATACAAGTTGATGACAGACTGATAAAACAGGGGGTGAAAAAGTAATCAAAATTGTAAAAGAACAACTCTTCTATGTGGACTAAAAGTAAACAACAAAAACGTAAAGAGATTGAACGTTGTATACATTTGAAAACATTCGATGGAAAGTTTGCATATGCTTATACGTCTAGCTTAAGAGTGATACTCACTTGTGAGAACAGCTGCGGATGTGTCCAGTTCCAGGGAAGATGCAACTGGTTATGAAGTCCTCTCCTTGATGGCCGACTCTCCAGGGATTCTCTCCATATATCGATAACACATTTGAGATTATGTGGCTCTTAAATTTTCTGAAATCTTTTTGAAAAGATGGTTGAACCTTTCAGGTTAATGTCTGAAATTGCCCCAAACCTGTTTTTCAAAGCGAGGCTAAGTGCGAATTAAGATATTGATATAAAAACGTTTTTTAGTGCATATGCAAATACAACATATTTTCACCAGAAAAGTTTGCACTTAGCCTCATTTTGATGGTGAGAGTTTTTGGAACACGGCAATGGCCTAATTCACACTAAGGCCAAGGCCAAACGTCGAACTTTTCATGAGACGAACCATGAATGAGTTTGGATCGTCCAACATGTTCTATTCGTCTGCTACAGACGGGTAGAACGTCTGAAGATCGTCTCTGAGACAAGCGTCGATCTTCACACGCGACCAACTTACAGTAACTAATGAATTAAGAATTTGTTCCTATTTAACCTCGTTCGGGAGAAAATTTATTTGAATCGCTTTTTGGTCTCATTCAGTTGATTGGTGGCCCCCATTTCAAGTAACATGATGCTGATTGAAAATAAAGGTTTTGTTATGTGGATGTCGCTACCACTGTCTACAAGAAGTAAATTCGTACGTTATTCAAAAGACAAACCAAACGGTCTATGACATGGCGCTTTTCGTATTTGCTCGTGTTGCTGTGCTTCTAATGCCCGTCTTTCACCAACACCAGCACCAGCTGTGTTTACTAAGACAGTTTTGTTTTGTAGTTATCAACATTGAGCGATTCCGCCTTGTTTTTATTATGATTTTTTTTATTTTTCTTTTTTTCACGTATACACTCTCGTAGGTGCGTGCAGGTAGTTACGCTTCTAATTACTAGCACTTTCGAGAGTCTATTTTTGCTCTGCTCAACAAATCTCTTAATAGGTATCATCGTGAAAATATTCACTCACCAAAGCTGTCGTTTGTGCTCTTAGCCTCAAAATCCTCCTGCAAAAATATAGAAGAGGAAAATTTACTTTCCACCGTTTACGCAATGTTTTTGCTGAAAGTAATCATATAATTTGTTGCAAGACTACTCTATAAACTACATGTGGGCTTCAAGCGTCGGTAACTATATATTAGCGGGGCTCCCGGGCGCGCGAAGCGCGCGTGGGGACAGAGCTCCATACTCATGGAATATGGTCAACCTCTTTTCGCTTGGTTGGCGCGTGATTGATCGAGCGTACGCGTCTACAGATTGTACGGGTGGGGTAGGGGAGGCTATCAAAAAGAAGGGAGGAGTGTCTCAGGCGTGTCTTGGCAAGTCCACATCTTTTATATAGGACATTGACAATATGGTCAATTGACAGCTGTCAAAACAGGATAGCCACTGACCAGTATCCCATGACGATATGACGGGCTCATGTGTCAACTCATCGAGGTGACGTGAGTTATGTGGAAGCTGTCCGCTGACCAGTTAATTGCTTTACTATATCGCGAACAATGTTCAATCTCATACTTTCTACCTAGTTTGGGAGCACAGGAAAACTGATAATGAACACATATTGGACATCAATGTTTTGATCAATTGACAGCTGCCAAAACAAGGTTTCCGCTGACCAGTATCAATTGACCGTATCACGGGCTCAAGTGTCGACCCATCGAAATCAAGTATTTTTTGAAGTTATCCGCTGACAACTTACTAGTTTTCAAGTGTTCGCAGGCTCAAGTTTAATTTGTTTTTTATTCATATGAAATACATTGTGTTTATGTGCCGCATATTTAAAATCTTGATTTTAAACTGACCTCGGACGCGAAAAATTAAGCCAGCTGTAACTGGCAGGGAAGACAGTTACTTTTGACTTTTCTCACCATGGTCACGCGTTAGTCACACTCTACGTTCAATTTTTATGCTCTGATTGGTCAAAATTTGACAGGTGAGTTCATGCGAAAAAATTTATGTAGCATCTTGAATCTTGTTTACTTTGACTGCTGAAGCTGACAGAGTTTTGTGTCAACTTGTGATGTCTTAACTTTCTTTTCACACTGGATGTACAAAATGAAATTCAGCTGCTATCAGGAGTCTTCTGTTATTCATGGCTAGTTTGTTTATTGGGTTTTTGGTTGAGAAATACGTCACTTGTCAAAGTCGGAAATCCGATTTCGGATGGCGTCGTTTTCGTTTTCACCTTGCTTGATGCGTAAGAGGGTTGCAAAGTCTGAAGCGATACTGGCCTTACTTGATCACCTTCCAGGAGCTGCATCTCGAAAGGTAAGCCAGAGTAATTATTGTATTTGATGTTTGTTTTTTGTATCTAATTTAATGAAGTCGAGCCTAGTTTATGCGGGTATTTAGTTTATACACGCTTATAAGATTTGAGACAATGATCTGACCGAGTAGCAAGTTTGATATAAGCTTACAGAACTTTAAAAAGCCTTTAGACAGTTTCTCGCCGAAATTAGAGAAAAAACGTTCCAAAGAATATTAAGTTATAATTCTGGCTGTAAAAGAAAGCTTTGAGCGATTTTCTTGCCTCGAGTTCGTCTTTGAAAAAAGCAAACACCGGAAAGCCGGCTTACAACATAAACTTAAGCCTTAAGCTTGAAGACTCGGAATTTTTAGAGACACTTTAATACTTGTCTTCCTGAATGAAAATTGTTGTTTCTGCATATGTTTCACCGAATTATATTTGTTTTATTGATTTTTAGTAGCCTTTCTTGTAATTTTAATCGCTGTGCCGAGTGTTTTCAGTCGTTCAGTGAACATCGCTTCCGGGAGTACTCAAAATGGCGCGCGTTAAAAGGCTGTGTATAAAAGTGGGACGGGGACAAGGGGACGGGGACATCGGGACGCGTGTGCGGGGACTTGGGACTTGGGGACGCGAGACGAGGGACTTGAGGAAATCAAGTATGGGACGCGGGGACGTCAAAAACAGGGATGCAGGGGACGCGGAATGTGAATGATTATCGCAAAAGTCGGAGGTAAATGCGATATCTCTTTCTTCGCGAAAATGCGCTATTTATGGTCAACATTAGATTCCTTCTTCCAAAACCACATTGGACACCCTCTGATGTTTACACAAAATATTTCTTTTTATCAATAGGAGTAAGCGCACTGACTATCGTGATTAGGGTTAGGGTTGATTTCCACTGTCGCGTAATTTTTCCATGCCTACGTGCGTAAAATTTGCGTTCGCAAATAAAATAGAGGCAATGTATGGAAGGTCGCACGTAAGCGTAAAAGTAGAATCTCGCTCAACTTCACGTTTATATTTTACCTTCATCTTATTCACGTGATTAAAATTTACTTGCGTTAACGTGCATAGCCAAAAACGCGTCTGTGGAAATCAACCTTTAAGTACTGTTAGCAAGCATTTGCTGTTAGGTTTCCCACTAAAAATATATGTAGAACAAAATAAATATAGCTACAATAGTTGAATCCCCCGTGGTTTAGTGGTACAGGCGATGGATTTCGTAGTTAGCACTTCGGGATTCGAAGCTCGCTTATGCCACTGAATTTTAAATTTATTTGGAATCGAATACTGTCATTCTACATAATTTTTGGCGACCGCAACCCACCTTACCCTCCTTTGGGCTCCAATATTCCATCAGTAAGAAGACCAGGACAAAGGTTTCACTTTCTTCTATGCAGGGAGTCTTCGCCGAGTCCGTCGCTTCGTAAACAGGCATGGAGGAACCCTAAGGAAGTCAGGGTGGGTTGCCTTCACCAAAACATATTCACGAGAAAAGTGACTGATATCGCATTTACCTCCGACTTTTGTGATAATCATTCACATCCCGCGTCCCCTGCCTCCCTGTTTTTGACGTCCCCGCGTCCCCGTCCCACACGTCCTCGCGTCCCATACTTGATGTCCTCAAGTTCCCCGTCTCGCGTCCCCAAGTCCCAAGTCCCCACACACGCGTACCGATGTCCCTGTCCCCTTGTCCCCGTCCCACTTTTATACACAGCCGCGTTAAACCATTTTAAAATAAAAAAATAAACACAATAAATTTTTTGTTATGTTGGAGCGTAACTCTGTTAATGTTCATTCAAACTCTTGCCACAGCTAGCACTACAAAAGTGAGAACCGGATGGCCGTATAGGTGATTTTGGAAATTTTTTTTAACGGTTTATCTAATAAAGGCCCACGCGTACTTTCATCGTCCTTAATATTGAATGAGTGCAATTTGTATAAAATTGCAAAATCGTGAAATACTGCTTTCTGTCCAAGGTCTGTAGGATAAAAATAGTGTCTCATAGTACTTTTTCACCTCAGATGTGATGTATAAATGGTATATAAGGTTGGTTTACACGCACCCAGATTTGTTGGCAAGATTTTGCAAAGTAAACTTGTCGAACGCAAAACATTCGGGGGCCGTGATTTTTTTTTTCCAGGCTTAATTAATCTACGGTGATCAAGAGCCATTATGGCTCTTAAATGTGATCGACGATGATTACCAGTTTTTGGGTGTACATATGAGGCTATCAACTCGATGTAAGATTTGGTTCAGTCTTGGGCTGTTGGCAAATTATTTTTCTCTAAAATCACGTAGCCTTTTCCTCAAAAGTCACATAAATGTGCTCTTA